ATATGCTCAGCATACAGGTTGAATAAGTATGGTGAAAGAATACAACCCTGTCACACACCTTTCTTAATTTTAAACCATTCAGTGTTCCCATGCTATCTATTTAGGGTCTATATTATGTTTTCCACTACGAGTGTGCTATTGGCATTTTTGGTGTGTAGAACCATGTTGTAAGATACCTGCCAAATACCATCATTACTTTCAATTCAGAGGGACAACCAGAAAAAACAACATACATATTTATATCCTTGTGCGATTAGAAGACACAGCCCTATGCTTTTCTAATAGATGCAGCAATGATCAATGAACTAACTAATTAAGTTAGTGTTGTTAAGTGCCACAGAGTTGGTTCCAACTCATAGTATATATGATATGTGCTTTCTTAGGAGCAGCTGGTGGGTTTGAATCACCAACTTTTCACTTAGTAGTCAGATAGCTCATCCTACAATGCCACGCCAGGACCTCAGAAAGGGAAGAAACACTGGAAAAAAAGGTACCACTAGTAAAGAAGATTAACTGAGAATTTTAACAAAGGTGGTGACTACTGCTAGAAAGGGTACTTAATGATAGTTTAAAGATTGAGGTTCCCAGCTGAGTGATTTTAAGTAAGAAAGCTAGAAAGATTTTAGAGGCTTGTAAATGGGTTATAAAAGAAGGCCAGGATATGGTAGACAGTAGACAGGAAGAAGGAATTCTAGGTTTAAGGAAGAATATACACAAGAAAAACATGGGACATGTAACCTGTATTCAGAGACAAACTACATGAAGGGCTATGGAGATAGATTTGCCAGTTATTTCTATAACTTTCCCTTCATCTTTTTTCTTTTTTTCAAACTTGCCTTTTTTCCTTGACGACATGGTTTACCCTTAGCCCTTACTATGCTATAGCTAGTCCTGACTGATATATCTTTTTTATTTTAGACATTCTAATAGTGATGGATGTGCAGGGGTATATCATTGTAGTTTACATTTTTTGTTTATATGATGAATAATGATGTGGAGCATCTTTCATGTGCTCATTTGCCATCCATATTTCTTATTTGGTTAAGTGTTTGATCATCATCTTTATGATTTTTTTATTGATATCTTAAAATTGGGTTTTGAGAATTCTTTATATATTTTAGATGCTAGTCCTTTTTAAGAAATGTTATTTGAAAATATTTTCTCCCAGTTTTTTGTTTCTTTTTTTAAATTCTTCAATGATTTTTTTTAAGAGCAGAAGTTCTTAATTTTGAGTAAGTCCAATTTATCAGTACTTTTCTTTTATGGATTACACTTGTATCTTTCATAAGAAATCTTTGACTGACCTAAGGTTACAGAGTTTTTCCTAGGGTCCTTCTGGAAGTTTTATAGTTTTACATTTTAAATTGAGTTATATTTAGATATGATACAAAGTATGGATTGCAATTCATTTATATGCACTGTTTGAGTATCATTTGTGGAAAAGAATATTCAGTCTCCACTGAATTACTTTGGTACCTTTGACAAAACTGAATTTACTTTATATGTTGTTGTTAAGTGACTTCAAATCATTTCTAATCATAGCAAACCTGTATAGGGTTTCCATGGAGCAGCTAGTGAGTTTGAATCACTGCTTTTTGGTCCAGTGCTTATCCTACAGCACCATACCAGAACTCTCTATATGAGTGTATTTAAAAAAGTATGGGAAAATTCCATTATCTTTCTTTTTTTTTTTAATTTTTTTTTTGTGTGTGTGAATTATGTGATGGTTTACATGGGAGAACATTAGCTTTACATTCATCCTATTGTATATCGTTTCATTGCCATGGCTATAATCCCCTCCATGCATCATCAACCAACCAAAATGTATATCCTGCAAGCCTGCCTCCCGGTCGTCAGCACACAGCCCCTCCCTCTCCCTCTCTGGGTCTAAAGTCCCCAGCTGCTCCATCTCTCTACATCATTGTCTCTGCTTCCATCTCTGGCGTCACTGTTTCTCTGGGTAGGATCCTGCACTCAGCTCTTCTCCCTTGCTGGTCCCAGAGATCTCCACTCCTAGACTGAAAAGTCAATCACACCCCTCCTTTTGCTACAGAACATCTACCTTTACATTTCCAACCCTCAAAGTCAGTCCTGATAGTAATTATTCACTATTGTACCACATGAGTGCTATCCACATTTCCTTTCATCACTCCCACCTAGACAGATTGGATACTACTCAGTGGAGATTATACCTTCCTCCACACCTTCTGGATCTAGGCTCTCTCTTTAAAGCTTGTAAGCCAGTCATTTCTTGCCTTTGTAGTTCCCCCATTTTGGATAGCCAATGTCCAAGTTGCTCATCCCACCTACCTGAATGGGTGGGAATGATCCTCACTGTAAAGATTTGTTCCCTCTTTTGAGCTACTGCATCCATAGTTCATCAAATTGTATCAGATCTCTCTTTTTACCTCTTCTTTCTTCTTCTAGTTGAGTTCTGATCATCCAGCCATTGAAACCAGGTTAAGTGGGTATTATCTGCAAGTGTGGGTGCTCTTGTGCATATGCCAGTTCAAACCCTATACACGTCATTATGGGTTGGAACCAACTCGATGGCACTTAACAACAAAATATTTATATGCTTTTGGGTGTTTTTTTGTTTTTTTTTTCTTCCCCAAAGCGAATTACAGTTTCTATAAACACCTTTCTAAGACAATAATGGACTTCGTTCAAGATATCTGAGAGTTCTCCTAGGATCTTTTAGTTAAACTCTAATTATATTTTTATTTTTGGTGGTGGTAGTGTTTTTTATTGTTGCTTTGTTTTGTAATTTGACCTAAATATCAATGAGCTCATTTTTAGCTAAGTCAAAATCTTTGAAATTGTTTGTATTAGAAATGGATTGTAAAACTTTGGTTCAACTTTAATACTATAAGCTAGAAATATTTTAAGGCATTGTTAGGAGTTTCTAGAGGTTCACAGCTATCTTTTCCAATAAATGAACACACGGTGTTACCAATACAAAGTCCTAATAGAAGGTGATGCCTGTATTTCTAGTTGAAGGATGTTCTAACTTGAGTAGAGTTTAGTGAAAATAAAAATGCATTCTCTTCTCACCTCCCCCCACCCCCATACACACATCCAAATTCACAGATTGCCTGCCTTGAATTGAGGAAGTTTAAAAAAAGAATTCTTTCAAAGAAGTTTGCTACTCTAGGAAGCAGATTTGGGGCAATAGGAAAAAGTGTTGATGGAAAGGTGGATTGATAGTATGAACAAAAACTTGTAAATGGAGAACAGGGTTGGATCCGGTAAACAAGTAGATTGATTGGCCTTAGATGGGAGAAGAGGGTATATGTCATTCATTTTAATAGAAGAGACAGTAGACAATCTGTGTTTGTGTATGCATGTACATTTGTGTTAGTAGTTACACACATAAAGGTGTTGGTTTACAATTGTTGTTATATGCTGTTGAGTCAGTTCCAGTTCATAGTGACCCTGTATAGGCTTTATGAGAACAGCTGGTGGGTTTGCACTGCTGACCTTTGGATTACCAGTCCAGTGCTTATACTATGGCACCACAGATTTGGCAGTGAAAAGTAAGATATTAGAAGTTTGAGGTGAGAGATGGAATGGTAGAATGTTGTTGTTTCCCATTTATTGTAGTGGAGTGTCTTTGGAGGAACCTCTGGGTGGGTTTGAAATACCAAACTCTCAACTAGTCATCAATCGCTTAATTGTTTGCGTGACACAGAGAAAAAGCATACAATATGATATACTCAACTAGGATTCTAGACAAATGCGTTGACTAGAGAAATATAGTAGTATTAACAGGTTGGAAACCAACAACAATAATTACATTTAATTAAAAAGCACACTACTGGACTCATGATTCTCTTGATTTGAATATTGTACTCATAAAAAGAAAACTTGCTTTTTTAAGTTCTTTTTAATCAGTCTTTGATGCTGGCATCTTGCCTGTTTTTCTTAACCTTTTTTTTTTTACTGTCAAGTTTTAATTTACCTTGTAAGTAATGCTTTCTTACCCCCTCTGGAATGTTAAAACTTTGTAATTTATATCTGAAATCTTAAAATTTTCTAACTTGTGAAGCCATTGCTTAGACTTGAAGCTTTCAGTGTATTAGTGTATTATCAGTATTGCATAGCTCATTTCTTGCTAAAGGATTACTATCTTTGTTCTTTGATAAAGTAAAATTATATTTTTCTTGTATCTAAAGTCTACATTTATGACAATACAGGAGGGCTTCAAAAGTTTGTGGAAAAGATGGAATTAAGATAATGAACTTTTTTTAAGCTCCTGTGTATTTTATTAAGAAGCCATGTTGGCACTGTGGGTTAGGTGTTGGGCTGCTAACCTCAAAGTTAGTGGTTCAAATCCACCACTAGTCACTCTGTGTGAGGTTGTCTACTCCAATAAAGGTTTATAATCTCAGTAACCCTATATTGGGTCCCTGTGAGTAAGAATCAACTTGTTGGTAATGGATTTGGTTAGTTTGGGTTTTGTATTTCCTTATCATACATTCTAGGAACCTAATTCCAGTAGATGGTGATTTGCCTTATCGTTTATCTAAATTTGTCGTTGTTGCTGTTACATACTCCTGAGTTGGTTCAGACTCATAGTGACCCTATATAGGGTTTCCAAAAGTAGCTGGTGGGTTTGAGCATCTGATCTTGCCATTAACAGTCCAGTGCTTATCCTACAAAGCCACATGAACCTCTTTTTGCTGTAAGATTTGTTGAAGCTGATTCTCGTTAGCATTTTAAATACTCAGCTGATATAATTACACTTTTATTTATTCAGACTTGGTGTTTTCCTTAGATTAAATTCTTACCATACAATTGTTTTTTTTAGGTTCTGTATATATATCTTTAGTTTTTCCTAACTAACTTTCTGATCTCTATCGCTGCAACAAATTGTATGGATTTATTTGATGTTAAAAAAAATAAAATTGAGCTATATGAGTAAAAACACTTTACTCTGTATTTTTATATGCACTTAGCAATACAGTGATTTTCAGTCCATTATTTTGCTTGAAATTTGCCTTTGAAGCTTTCAAAAACACACTTTTACAGATCAAATTCTGAAGAACATGTTTTGATAGAACTGTGGTGTAACTAAGGTGTCTGTCTTCTTAAAAGCTGCACAAGTAGTGGTATGATTTGTAGGCAGGATTGGGACTGGATTTTTTTTCCCTTTGACCTGATCCCCTCCTGACTCCATAAGACTCAGTTGTATCTCTAGGAAGAAGAAAGCCAACGTACTTACTACACCCCAACCTTTTCCCCATGTTATCGAAACAAACTTGTACTGCATTTGACCATTTTTGTGCAGTACACACAATTGCCAACCTGAAACATAACGTAGCAAGATCTTAGGAATGTTGCTCTCCTCCTAGGGGAATGCCCAAGATAATATATGCTTGGCTCCTATGTGTCCTGGGAGTTGCAGGCAGAGAATGCACAATCATCGATGTCACAGGCAAGTAGTAATCATAACTTGAAACCATGTCGTGTCTGTTAGAGATTCATGTTGAGTAAAACTTGTCTGATTTAAGATCATCTCTTTTCCATCTTTAATTCCAAACCTTAGAAATATTTACTAGGAAGATGTGACTTTCATAAAACTAATACACAGTGAACCCTTATTTTTCTTATTTAAGCTGCTTATTCTTCTTTGCTGAGTAAATTCACAGGGAATTCTGTTTCCCCTATAATAAAATGAGAAAAAAGTTCTGGCATTCTAATAAAAGTTTTAAATGAACTATTTAAAAATTCATCATAATTTAAAAGGAGGTAGACCTTTGCATCTCAATGTTGTTTATATTGTGTAGAATAATATTAGAATCTTGATATTTCATTCAGTATATTCTCATTGCAACTTCACATTTTTTTTTTCTTTTAATGGCAGCTTTGTTTTTTTTTCTGATGCTATTTTTTTTTCATTGTGAGTTTGCCCCTATTTTACTGTTGATACATATATGTAACTTATCATACTTGAAGTAATTCTAGGAATCAGAATAATCCTTTTCACTTAAAGAGTTGAGCCCCATGCTTTTTGAGTGGATTCTAAGAGCTCTGAGATGAAGGCAATGGAAGCAACCCTTAGTATAGCATAAAAATATAATGAAGAGAAGTAATTTAAACTTTTTCATTACCTCTTCCCGCACCCTCAACATGGCCTAACTCTTCCAGGATCCATTCAATAGATGTATTGTTTGTTATTTTCTAATCTCTTGTATTTATGTCCCTGTGGTGCTGTGTATTAATGCGTCAGACTGCAAAGTCATTTGAACGGCAAGGTCATGGTTCAAACTCACCAGCTTCTCCTTGGAAACCTTATACAGGGTCACTATGGGTCAGAATCAACTCGACGGCACTTAACAAGTGCTTTGTTTAAATATTTTTGTTTTATCATAGGTCATAAATTGTAACGTGTTAGATAGAGAGATATTAAGGAGGAATTAGGACCTATTATGTGCCTTTACATTTTTTGCTTAGTGTGTTTTTTCCTAAAAACATCTCCTCAATAGTTTTTGTTGAGTACTATTTAGTATATTTACCAACAAATGATTTTTTTTTTTTATTGTAGATGATATTGGTGCTCACATGAATGTAGGAAGAACTTATAAAAATTTAAATAGAACCAAAGAAGCTGAAGAGTCTTACATGATGGCTAAATCACTTATGCCTCAAGTAAGTTGTCATAATTCATTTTTATTATGCCATGCCTCTTAGATGTCTGTCTATAAATTACCTAGATGGAAACTTCCCCATAGTGTCTCCAATTTGTAGATATAAAATAACTGTAGAGGGGTGTCTGTTCCTTAGAACACTGAACCATTCAGGATTAAAAAGTCAGTATTTGCCCAAGGACAAAGTTCAGGAGGCGGAAAGAAGACAGAATGGAAATGGGAAACAAAGGGGAAAAGTAGGATGAGTGTTGCTACATTGTGGAGATTACAATCAATGACACGAAACAAACAGTACAGCATTGGGTAGAGTTCTGGTAGCGTAGTGGTCACGAGTTGAGCTGCTAAATCTCAGGGTCAGTAGTTGGAAACTACTAGCTGTTCCCTGGAAGAAAGATGAGGCTTTCTATTCCCATAAAGATTTACAGCCTCAGAAACCCTATACAGGGTCGCTATTAGTTGGAACCAACTCTATGGCACATAAACATCAGCACCACAACATTGGATAACCTATCTATTCCTAAAAGCTTTGTAAAGGATTAAAATATGCTGTCTAGCTCACTTAATGATTAAAAAATGTTTTTATAGTTCATTTGTAAAACTAAGCCTATAAAGTATAAAACTTCAGTATTTTCATGGTAGCGTAGTGGTTACAAATCGGGCAGTGAACCACAAGGTCAGCAGTTCGAAACTACCAGCTGTTCCGTGGGAGAAAGATGAGGCTTTCTGTTCCTGTAAAAACCCTGTATAGGGTCGCTATGAGTCGGAACCGACTCCACGGCACATAACAACAACAACAATTTTCATTATAAATTGTGAGTTAAATGACTTTACATGAAGAAAAATTTATATAAATAAAAAACTAAATATTTCCTTAAAAAATGAATGAAATGCATCTATTGCTATATTGTTTCTTCAGTTACTATAGTGACAAGCGTACTACAAGGTTGAATATTAAAATACAGCATCAGAATTGGAAAAATCTGACTCTGCCCTTGATACGGCCTCAGAAAAAGTAGTTTACCATGGGCTGCAGTGTTCTCAATTATAGTGTTAATAAGAAAAGTAACAATTAGATAGTTCAATACATTAAAAATATAAAGTTGGCCCACCTGATATCTTAAAGATTGATCTTAGCTTCTTAGTGGCGCTTAAAAATATATATATAAAGAACTATCACAATTGAGTGGCTTTCACAAACACAAATTAATTTTCTCACAGTTTAGGAGGATGAAGTTTGAGCTCAGGATGCTGGCTCTAAGGGAAGGCATTCTTTAGCTGTAGCTCTGGGGAAAAATCTTTATATCTTTAAGCTTTTCTTCCTTGGTTATTTCCAAAATATCATCAGTCTTTTTCAGTTTGTGGTGCCTGTTAAGTGGCGTTGAGAAGTTTCCAACTCATAGCATCCTGTATGTATAGGATTTTCAAGGAGTGGCTCGTAGACTTGAGCCATGAAACTTACCATTAGCAGTCCAGTGCTTATTGTACAACACCATTTGTTGTTACATGCTGTTGAGTCTGTTCCCACTCATAGCACAAGATTGGTTTGAACTGCAGTGTCAATGGTTCAAACTCACTAGCTACTCCTTTGAAACCCTTTACAGGATTGCCATGAGTCAGAACCAACTCGATGACACTTACCAACAATAAATGGTGCTATAAGATAAGCCCTGGACTGCTAACTGCAAGGTTGGTAGTTTAAGCCCACCAGCCACTCCTTGGAAATCCTAGATACACAAGTTATGAGCTGGAACGTACTCAGCAGCACTTAACAACAACCACCACTGAATAAACAAGCAGCACATACTGAGAGAGACTGATGACAATTGGAAATCACCAAGGAAGAGAAGCTGAAACAGATACAGATTTCTTCCCCTAGAGTCATATGGAGGAAGAGCCTTCCCCTAGAGCTGGCACCCTGAGAGTCCATCGTTTATCTATCGCAGGAGTATTATCTTGTGACATACCCTTCACTGATGCTGCTCCATTAACCTAGCAAAGCAGACCCTATTCCCCAGATGGGATTGTAGCCACAGCTGAGAGACAGTTGAATACACAACAGGATTATTTCAGTACCAAGATTCAGTAGTTAAGTTGTGTTTGGTACAGATTTTTATCAAATGCAATGTATTTGAAAAAAATATTCATTTCATTGAAAATTTGTATCTCTGTATATTTTTATATAATATTTACTTACCATGAATAATCAGTAAGCAGTTTATCTCTTTTAACTTCACCAGACAGATGTGAATTTTTAGTAGTAAATCTTTGAAACAGAATTATCCTATTGTCCAAATTAGGAGCCCTGGTGGTGTAATGGTCATGTGTTTAGCTACTAACCAAAGAGTTGGTGGTTCAACCCGCACAGCTGCTTTGCAGGAGAATGACAAAGATAACAATCAAGGAAACTCCTTGGAACAGTCACTTAGCGTTACTGAGTGAGAACCAACTCAACAGCATTCAACAACACTGTTGCAACCAGAAAATCTTGCTGACAAGACAAAAGTTGGCATGGTATAATATAGCCATCAAAAAATAAGAAAATCTGGGTTCTATTTCTAGTTTGACACAACTTTGCCAAGAGACCTTGGCCTCTGTAAGTTTTCTGATTTATATGACTTCATAAAAAGATAAGTATAAGTAAAATGCTACACTCTGCTGTTGTCATTGAAAAAATTGTTTATCAATGCCACAAAATACTATTCATATTTTGTATTGCAAGTATTTTCACATCTTTATGTGAAAATGTTTTAATCCAGTAGCATAAGATTAACAAAGAATCCCTGGATAGCACAGATGTTAATACTCAGCTACTAACTGAAAGATTGGCAGTTGGTCCACCCAGTGGCACCACAGAAGAAAGGCCTGGTGATATACTTCTGGAAAGCCACTTCCTTTGCACAATTCTACTCTGAAGTACATGGTGTTGCCCTAAATTGCCATTGTTAGTGCAGTTGAGTCGGTTCCGGCTCATAGCAACCCTGTATAGGGTTTCCAAGGAGCAACCAATAGATTTGAACTGCCGACCTTGTGGTTTACAATCCAGTGCTTGTCCTGCAGGATCACACTCAACAGCAGTGGGTTTGGTTTGTTTGGGTGTCAGATAATCTTATTTTCTGTGTGTTTTAAGTAAGCCACTAGGAATGCTTATGGGACTTTTGACTTTTCTTTGGTAACAAAGTATCAAATTATGAAAATTCTTTGTTTTTTCTAAACAGATTATTCCTGGTAAAAAATATGCAGCCAGAATTGCCCCTAATCACCTAAATGTTTACATAAACCTGGCCAACCTCATCCGAGCAAATGAGTCCCGCCTAGAAGAAGCAGATCAGCTGTACCGACAAGCAATAAGCATGAGGCCAGACTTCAAGCAGGCCTACATTAGCAGGTATCCTGGTTCTCTTTCAAGCTGCATCAACCTGTACATTTTGACTAACTTGGCAGGCATTTTTGCTTTCATAATCTTTCATGGCAGTGAAGAGCTATCCTTTTTCAGTTTAACCCTCAAATTTCATTTATGTGAAATTGACAAGGAATCTCTAACTTGTATAGAAAATTTGGGTTATGTGTAAAAGAAAAAGTTGAAGAAACTCCTGCTTACTTTAATTTGCTTTCCATCATCTGTGTAAAGTACTTGAAATTTGTGTAATAGTTACTTCCAATATCCAACTCTCAGGAAGTTTCTTAAATTTAAATCATTGTTTGTATAAAGAAATGCAATGAAATTTTAATAAATTACTGAGCTAAAATTCGTTAATGATTTCAGAGCTGTCTTTGACCTTATCCAGTACTTGTTGAAACATACGACATAGATGCAGTTAAATAAGTAAAACCTGTCATGTGTTAATCCATAAAAATTACGTAATTGTATCTACCCACCAGCTCAGGTAGCATAGTGGTTACGAATCAGGCTGCGAACCATAAGGTCTGCAGTTCGAAACTACCAGCTGTTCCCAGGGAGAAAGATGAGGCTTTCTGCTCCCGTAAAGATTTACAGCCTCGGAAACCCTGTACAGATTCACTATGAGTCAGTACCGACTCCATGGCACATAACAACAACAACAACCCAGCTGCTCCTTGGAAACCCTATACAGGGTCACTGTGGATCAACTCTATGGCACTTAACAACAACCCCCAAATATAACATCATGGTTAAATATTCATTCTAGATGTTGCTTTACTCAGATTTAATATGTTTCTTTCATATGATTTCATTACTATGCTGATAGCATAGGAAAGAGTAGTATAAATTACTGTCATTTTAGCTCTTCCCACATGTGATTTCATCCTGGTGTGGCACTGTGGGTTAATGCATCAGACTGCGAAGTCATTTGAACTTCAGGGTTGGCAGTTCAAGCTCACCACCTGTTCCTTGGAAACCCTATACAGGGTCACTATGGGTCAGAATTGACTAGACGGCACTTAACAACGTGATTTGTAAGGAGCTCTGGTAGTGTAGTGATTGAGTCAAACTGCCAACCTCAAGATCATTCATTTAAAACTACCAGCAAGCCTGTGGGAGAGAGATGAGGCCTTCTGCTCCAGTAAAGATTTATAGTCTCTGAAACCATATACAGAGTTGCTATGAGTTAGAAGCGAATTGACAGCACTTAACAACAACAAATACGTGATTAGTACATATGTACTTAAGCAAAATGATTTTTATGCTTTCTAACAGAAAACAGAACTCTATTAGACATACTTGTACAAAATTTTCCAAACTGTGGCCCTCATTTTCAGAAATGTTCCTCAAAAGTATCTGCAGGTGGCACTCACACCCTTCCCACCCTGCCAGATCAGCTTTGTAATTTTATTATTTTATTTTTAATAATTATTTTACCAAGATATATTGAAGAAAACCAATTGTAAGAGGAGTTACAAATTTAAAATGCTCTATTTTTTTGTACAATGAGACATGTGACACAGATATGAATAGTGGAATGCCCCCTACCACTGCTATATTTCTCTTTATCAAATACTACTATTACTGTATTTTGCAACAAACTCATTGACCTTAATATTCTTTTCAGCTGCCATTTCTGTGATTCAGTCTAGTCTGCCTCCTTTCAACATAATTCACAAAATATATTTTCTCTGTGCACCTGCCCTCAAAGCCTCCTCATAATGTATGTACCCATGTAAATAAAATAAAATATTATTTTAATAATAAAAAGCCTTTCCTTCATTTAATATTTTGAACATATTAAGCCAAATTTGCCAAGTAAAGGCATTAAGACTTCAAACAGTCTCAAAGAGAGTTTTTTTTTTTTTTTTTCTTACCGTATTTCGTTTCATTGCAATAATTACAATCCCCTCCATGCATCATCAAATAACCAAAGGGTACACCACATAAGCCTGCCCCCTGGCTGCCAGCACACAGCCCTTCTCCTTCCCTGAGTCCAGTGTCCCCAGCAACTCCATCTGTCCACATCATCGTCTCTGTCTCCATCCCTGGCATCACTGCCTCCCTGGGTAAGGTCCTGCTCTCAGAGAGTTATTTTTGAAAGACAACTATAAGAGCCTAAGTTAAAAGGAAAATTGTAAATATGTGAGAAAGTTTAAAACTCATAAAAAAAACTACCTACAAACTGACATGTTAATGTTGTAAGTAACGTTTTTGTTTGTTTTTCCACAGAGGAGAATTGCTTTTAAAAATGAATAAACCTCTCAAAGCAAAGGAAGCATATCTTAAAGCACTAGAGCTGGACAGAAATAATGCAGATCTTTGGTACAACTTGGCAATTGTTCACATTGAACTTAAAGAACCAAATGAAGCTCTAAGAAACTTTAATCGTGCTTTAGAACTAAATCCAAAGCATAAGCTTGCACTGTTTAATTCTGCAATATTAATGCAAGAATCAGGTATGTTTTCACAAAAATTTCTGTATTTAAACAAATTGTAGTTTGGAAGTAGTAAAACCTTAACTTAAACTCCATTACTTAATAGCAAATGTTTTATGAATTGAGTGGATAATATATATCAAAAGTATGCATAAATGATTTATGAGAAGAATGCTTAAAATACTTGAAATAGACTATTTTGAATTATCATTCATTAACATATATGCCATTGCTCTTAGTTATTCAGATCTGTGCTGACTGATATTTTAGGCACTCTTGTACTATTGTTGTTGTTAAGTGCCATCAAGTCATTTCCAACCCATAAAGCAACACTGTATAGGGTTTCCAAGGAACAGCTGGTAGGTTTGAACTGCCAACCTTGCAGTTAGCAGCCCAGAATTTATCCTACAGTGCCACACCAGCACTATTATTCGTATTTATCTAATCTATTCTGTCATTCTATGTAATATAAAATCTTATAGTATGTTATATAATATGCATGTTATGTAATACAATAAAACATTTTTTATATTTGAACTGTCCAGGTAATCTGGATTTCAGATTCCTTTGCATAATTTTGCTTTAGCTAAGAGTATCTGGATATTTGATCCATATTTTATATGGACATCTTAGTTCTTTCTCAAAAATAGCATTTATGATTATTTTGTCAGTTTTGTATTGGAAAAAAAACTCTATATTAAATTTTTATTTATTTCTTAAATACATTTTATAAACCTTTACAGAAAGGGAAAACATTTTAATAAATTGTATTTTAGAGGTAAAAAGAGCCTTTAAGTTTATTTAAGTCAACCTTCCATTTTGTAGATCTGAGAATTGAGGTCCAAATAGAGTTAATTACTTGTCTAACTTTATATGACTATCATAGTAGCTAGCCCAGGATAAGAACTTACACCTACTATTTTTAATTAAATTGTTGTTAGGTGCTGTGGGATTCCTACTTTTTTTAATTTGTTAAGTTTAGATTCATAGCGACTCTGTATAGGGTTTCCAAAGAGTGACTGGTGAGTTTGAACTGATGACCTGTTTCATACTAACCTTGCGATCCAGTGTTTGTCATACAGCTCTACAAGTTTGCTAACCTTAATAATTATGAAAGATGCCCTTTATCCAGTATGACATTACACCTTAAGGTTTGCAATGATAGAATTTGAAATTTGTAGTTATTTGCAATAGAAAATAGCCAGCAAATATTTATTTCCTGGTGCTGCGGGCTAATGTGCTGGACAGCAAAGTTTGTTTGAACCTCAAGGTCGGTGGTTTAAACTCACCAGCCATTCCTTAAAAACCCTGTACAGGGTTGCAATGAGTCAGAACCAATTCAAAGGCATTAACCACAATAGCAACAATGCTAATTTTGTATCATATTTTTTGCCTTTGAATATAAAAAAATTAAAGGTGACATACAAAAAACACCTGATTCTGTAAGAGTGAAACATTTTGTTTGTACAATAACAACTGCAATTGTTGTGTTTACATAAATCTCATTTTCAAAGAATTCAAAAAGTTAATCCATAACCCAGAGAAGTTAGTTTATTCAGTATATAGTCGTGTTATGAACAGAACCATGATTAAATGCATATTTTTGGTGACAAATCCCATGTCTTTTCCTCTTAGTGCTATATTCTTCTGCTGATACTCCCAGTTAGATTCTAATTTGTGAGATGATCATTTCTCCTATTTTTGATTCTGGATACTCTTACTGCCTGAAAGGAAAGAAGATGAACTGTCACTTAATTTTTAAATTAACTTTCTTTCTTATGAGAACTTTAATGTTTTCACTTTCTGCTTTTTTCATGAAATGAAGAAATTAATTGATTTTAGCTTTTCACTTTTAGTAACCTTACTAGATAAATACTTACTGTAACTGTATTCCTCAAACTTAATTCATTTGCTAGCAATGTGATTATTTTTCTTATAAAAAATAATTATTTTTAGGTGAGGTTAAGCTCAGACCTGAAGCTAGAAAACGACTTTTAAGCTATATAAATGAAGAACCACAAGATGCTAATGGTTATTTCAATTTGGGAATGCTTGCCATGGATGACAAAAAGGATGCTGAAGCAGAGGTTTGGATGAAGAAGGCCATAAAATTACAAGCAGATTTCAGAAGTGCTTTGTTTAACCTGGCTCTCCTGTATTCTCAGACTGCAAAGGAATTAATGGCTTTGCCAATTTTGGAAGAATTACTCAGATACTACCCTGATCATATCAAGGGTCTCATTTTGAAGGGAGACATTTTGATGAATCAAAAGAAAGATATACTTGGAGCCAAAAAATGTTTTGAAAAGATTTTGGAGATGGATCCAAGCAATGTGCAAGGAAAGCACAATCTTTGTGTTGTTTATTTTGAAGAGAAGGACTTAATAAAAGCTGAAAGATGCCTCATTGAAACATTAGCATTAGCACCACATGAAGAATATATTCAGCGCCATTTGAATATTGTCAGAGATAAAATTTCTTCATCTGGTTTTGTAGACCAGCCAATATTTCCAACTGGTGAGACTTCACATATAGAAGAAGGAGACAAAATTCCAACTGAAAATATTAAAGAAGTTAGTAGTGAACCCAAACCCACACAGACCACAAAAGCAAGTGATGGTAAAAGTCAGTCTAAATCCAACAGACAATTGGGAAAAAATACAGACAAAGATACCCCCCACAAAACAACAAAAGAAATCAAAGACATTGAGAAGAAAAGAGTTGCTGCTTTAAAAAGATTAGAAGAGATTGAACGTATTTTAAATGGTGAATAATAGCATTACTATTTATCATATTACAATGGTAGCAAAGAACTTCAGTCTGTATCATTTTATTGTACTGGGAGCTTTGAAAGATGGTATGAAGTAAGAATATACAACAGTGATTTTTTTTGTGTTGGAGCCAATGTAGCAAAAATACTAAATTATAGGTGGTAAATTTGTATCCTTTGTTATAGAAGGAATGTTGTTCTGGTAGAAGAATCTATAACACTGTCAATTAAAAATAACTTGAGGTCTGAATGGTAAATCCTGTGGGGACATACTCAACGCAAGTGCTGGTTAATTCTGTATAATTCTCGCTTAAGTCTATTTCATTCTTCTTTCATGTTACTGTATTTTGTTGACGTGTTTTAAGGAATGCTGAGTGACACATCTTGAAATAAGCTAAACATGACATGTTAGTGTAAGAAAATACTTTCATTATTGTTTACTTATCCATAAGTTCATAAAGGTATGTATACACAAACACACACTCACACACACACTTCTTATGGTGCTCATATATAACGTATGAAGAGTTTTGAAGCATGAATCACATGATCATGATTGTTCTTTGATTTCCATTCCCCACACTCTTCATGTTTGTTGGGGCCATTGTCATACTGAGAAGTCTAACAATAGCTTTATTTAAACTTGTGATTTATAAATAGTAGGTTTCTCTTTCACCTTAAATTATCTATTTAGTCTTATTTGTAATTTTAACTTTCTATTTCCAGAATCACACCTAATCATTCTTTAGTGTGTTTTAGATACTTTAAGCAAGTAATTTTTATGAATGAAGGAAAAGCAATGTGACAAGTTTAAGCACTAAGTTCTATTGTATCTTACTATGGCATATAATTCTATTAAATATTTATTTTGACTACTAAGCTTTTATAAACAACTTAAAGCTGTTTTAATTCCATCAAGTATGCTATTTTATTTTCCTGTATATGCAAATATGACAGCCCAAACTGCATCATTTTGGCCTGCTGTACAACTATAAAGGATCATTATCCTACTAGAATATTAGGAAATTTTTCAGTTGGTTTTAGAAAATTTAACCTGAAAAATATGTTAGATTGAAGAGTTGAATCAAAATTATTTAATTTAAATCTGACTTTTTTTAGTTAAAATACATCACGTAATACCTAATAAAACTCTTTTAATGTAAAATTTAGAGCTCAAACTATCCTGGGATAGTAGGTATTTCTAATTATGTAGTATTTCATAAACTGTATTCCTTTGAGAAAGCTACTGTCCAATTATGTGTGTTTCAAAAATCATAGTCCTGAAATATTTTTAAAGAAATGTTTTATAAATAGGTCACAACAATCATGGGCTGCATAAAAGACATAAAAACCTCTTACTGGGTTCCCTGAGGATCTGTCATAGATTTGTTTTAGAAAGTTTAAAGCAAGTTGACTCCATTGGAACTTAATTTTTGATCCAGGAGATTCTCGTAAGCATCAGAGACCTGATTCCAGTCCTAAATCATAGCATGTGACTCCAGATATAATAAAGAACACCTCACACCCCATGACTTGAAAATTGGTATCTGTGTTATTCTAATGTTCTCTCTACATATCTTGAGAAAGTTTTTGAGTATGAACTCCTGTTATACTACTGAGTGAAGAATATTCAGATTAGTTGAAAGGAATGAGTGAATTAAAGAAATCATAATTATTCAAATATGTACAATTATGAATGGTATATATTAATGTTACCCAACTATTTTTATGGAAAAAGTAATGATTCTCTATTAACACTTAAGTAAGGGGCTTTTAATATAGCCTCCACTTTGTACAAATTAAATATGAATTTCTAACAGTAGAAACAGGCTTCAGTCTTTTCAGAAGTTCTCAAAGTGATTCTAATTTTCAGTCAGGGTTGAGGAAAACTGCTCTGAATTGTTGTTAGGTGTTATTGAGTTCCTTCTGATTCATAGCAACCCTAGGCACAACAGAATGAAACACTGCCCAGTCCTGTGTCATCCTCAGAATTATTAGGTGTGCTCTAAATTAGTTAGAAAAAAAATCCTTTTATTTCACCTGTGTTCAGGGGAGAAAAGGTAATGGGATGTTTCTTCCCCTGGAGCTGCCTCTTTAGGAAAAGATGAAGAGACTTCTGTCCAGTTTGCTAACCTGTGGCTTAGAACGTGTGTAAGTTGGAGGGGAAATGGTGGGGGGCAGTCTGGATTCTGGTAAGGGGGATGAGTTTTAATTCTCACTTTATTGTAAAAAGAACCTATTATCTAGTAGTTCTGGGAAATCATGGACAATCCCCAAGGGACAATTATGTTACTATCCACTGCATCTCAGAAGAAATAACTAAGTTTTTTATATTTTCTCCTATACATGTGTCCTTACCAGTCATTGAAATTCAGTGATTGATTTTCTGAAGTTGATGGATAGACTAGGAGAATAAGATAATCAAATACATAATTTTATTTTGCAATTTTGTATTTACTTTTATGTAAATATTTGGTATGTGAACTACACAATTCTAATAAAACCCTCATGCCTTTTCATTACATCTAGTTTGAGTATTCAACTTGATGTTATAGACTACGTCTTTCAAGATGCTTTAATAATATTAATAAAAATATAGATTTGTATGTCAATTTATACTTCAGAAATCCATATATTTGTCATATTTATTTTTTTAAAACTCTAATTGCATGACTAAATGATAACTTAAAATGAACTCCCCAAGATATCTGGTACCTGAGTCCAGAGTTTATATCTTTTAGAATCTGTCAGACATCCATATTAAAAGTTCATAGTAAAATAATTTTAAATTGTATGCATTTTATATCATTATGTCTGTGTACCATATTTCTAAGTATTCACTATTAAACTGATACTTTAAAAAATCTTAACCTGAATTGTTTTTTAGTGTTGTAATGAAAAACACCATACTGTATAGAGACTTTTGTGCCCACAAATAAGAGTCTGAATGTAGATTATTAGTAATCACATGCATTAAGTTATTACATGACACCAATACATGGGGCTTCAAAAGGTTCATAAAAAATTTCATTCTCTTTAAATACATTTTTCAGTAGAACTTTTGAAACCCTCTTGTATTTAACACTGTGACAGAAACCAAATAACGAAAATTACAGTTAAGCTTGGAATTTTACATGCACACAATTGGAAGTCAGTGTCATGAAATAATTAGGAGTTTTAAGTTCTGAATCTGCCTGGATTTTAATTATCTGTGTAAGTTAGGAGAACATTTTTATCATAAATTTCTCAGTTTCCTCATTAGTGAATTGGGGGAAACACTTCCTCATTAAGTTATTTACAGGATTAAATTGCTTAGAACAGCTTCTAGCATGTAATAAACAGTGCTAGCACATACACAATAATCCTTAGAAGTGCATTTGATTTGTGTGATTAGATTTATATCATATGATTCTAAGTTTCCTCATCTGAATTTGGGAAAAACACTTCCCTCATAAAGTTATTAAACGGATTAAATTGCTTAGAACGGTTTCTAATACATAGTAAAAACAGCCCTTGTTGTTGTTATTAAGTGCCATCAAGTTGATTCTGACCCATAGCGACCCTGTATAAGGTTTCCAAGGAGCAGCTGGTGAGCTTGAACTGCTGACCTTGCAGTTCAAACATCTTTGCAGTCTGGCGCATTAACCCACAGCGCCACACCAGGACTCCAGTAAAAACAGTGCTAGCACATAGTAAACAAGCCTGCATGTGATGCATATGATTAGAATTGTTGTTGTTATGTGCCTTCAAGTCGGTTCCGACCCATAGCGACCCTGTACAGGGTTTCGGAGAAATCTTTACGGGAGTAGAAAGTCTGATCTTTCTCTCGCGGAGCAGCTGGTAGTTTTGAACCGCTGACCTTAAGGTTCGCAGTCCGATTCGTAATGATTAGAATTATATGTGTGCTAATAGAGTCCTGGTGTGGCACTGTGGGCTAATGCCTCAGACTGCAAAGTCATTTGAACTGCAAGGTCGATGTTTCAAGCTCACCAGCTTCTTGGGAACCCTATACAGGGGCACGATGGGTCGGAATCGACTCGACAGCACCTAACAATAACAACAACAACAGATAATATCGGTCAGGGATAATTATGATCATAAATGATTTTTTAATAAAAAAAAAGATTTTAAAATGTTATATTAATGCTTATTTCTTCTTGTTGTAGGAGCCATCAAGTTGGTTCCAACTCAGTGACCCTATACAAGCAGAAGCAAACACTACCCAGTGTTGCACCATTCTCACAATTGTTGCCTTTAAGCCCATTGTTGCTGCCACTGTGTCAGCCCATCTCCTTGGGGGTCTTCTTCCTCTTTTGCATTGACCCCTCCCCTTTAACAAGCATGATATTCTTTTCACAGGAACTGGTCCCTCCTGATAATGTGTCCCATGTGTGAGAGTTGAAGCCTTGCCATCCTAGCTTAAAAGGAGCATTCTGGCTGCGCTTCTTCCAGGACAGATTTGTTGGTTCTTCTGGCAGTCCATTTTATATTTTTGAAAACCACGTTTCAATTGCATCAGCTTTCTATTTTCTTCCTTATTTATCGTCTAACTTTAATGCCTGTGAGGCTATTAAATATAGCATGGGTTGGGTCAGGCATACCGTAGTCCTCAAACTGATATCTTTATTCTTGAACACTTTAAAAGAGGTCTTTTGAAGCAGATTTGCCTAATGCAGTACTTTGATTTCTTGACTGCTGCTTCTGTAAGTGTTGATTGTGAACACAAGCAAAATGAAGTCTTTGATAACTTCGATCTTTTCTCCACTTATCACTATGTTACATATTGGTCCAGTTGTGAGGACTTTTGTTTTCTTTACGTTGAGGTGCAGTCTTTAATCTCTATCAGTAAGTATTTTAAGTCCTTTTTGCTTCCAGCAAGCAATGTCATATCACCGAAGGTTGTTAATGAGTCTATCTCCAATCCTGATATAATGCTCTTCATATAAACCAGCTTCTCAGATTATTTGCTTAGCATACAGATGGAATAAGTATGGTGAAAGGATGTGACATTGGTGCACACCTTCCCTGGTTTTGAACTACTTAGTATCCCTTTGTTCTGTTCTAACAACTACCTCTTGGTCTATG